ATCTCCTTAAATTCTTCTCTGTCATTTTTTATGGTGCTCATCCATCTTCAATGTTATGGTACTGTCTATTATTTATTTATGTTTCAGGGGCATTTCTTCCATTAGTAATATTCTTGATTATGTTTTTACGAAAGCTTCTTTGTTACTCTAGAACTAAGAAAAGTCATAGATATGAAAATGTCACAAGAAATGAAGAAGATTGCCGTGGAGATAAATTTAAGAACTATTAAAATTTTTTTCTCTGTTTTTGTTGGAAGTTTAAAAGAACTTATTATTTCTTTTATGACTATTAAATCTTGTTTAGTTTTTGGTTGTCAAAATATTTGTCCTAAAAGTCAATTAATTTTCTTCATCTTCTTCTTTTATTGCCAATCCAAATTTTTTTCCCCACTCAAAACACTCTTCTAATTTTTCCTGTCCTGGTTGGAGACGACAAGACAATGGCTCAACTGGTTGTTTTGCTTTTAGTTGTTGAAGTCTTGCTGAAAGATTCCCAACACCTTCTCCACTCCATCCATGTGAACCAAAACATTGAATAAATCTTTGGCAATGAATGTAAGGATTTAAATTACATGCTATTGTTAATATTGGGGGTAGGGCATCTCCAACAATTGTTGGAGTCCCAAGTAATAAACCTTTACAGTCATTGAAATCGTTTAAGACGTTTTCAACACTAGTATTTTCTACGTTATGCATTGACACCTCAACACCAACAGATTTAATTCCATCGGCAATTGTATTTGCCATAGTTTCTGTATATCCATAAACTGACCCATAGGCAATAACAACTTTATTTTTTAATGGTGGTGGTTGAGCCCATTGACGCCAAAGTTCAACACGTTCTGGTATATAACCACGTATTATTGGACCATGACTACAACAAATAGCTTTACAGTTTTTTAAATCGAATCCAGGTTGATGTTCAAGGGTTTGAATGCCTTTTAAAACAAATCTTTTAAAAGGACCAAAGACTGAGTTAAAATAATCATAACTTATCTGAAGATATTGATCTTTCCTATCAACAATTAAATCATCAAACATTCGTTCATCAGCAAAATGAGTACTAAACATATCACATGTAACTAAAACATTCATTTCTTCTATTAACGTGATCATTGTATCAGGCCAATGTAAAAATGGTTGATAAATAAACTTAAGATGAATATCACCCAGATTTAGTTGTTTAGTTTTAACACTATTAATTGTTTTTGTATCATCTCTAATATGACCAATAAATTGTATATTATTTAAAGCAGCAGTAGAAGCTACTACTGTTGCGTTAGGATATCTTTTAAGTATAGGACTTAATGAACCACTATGATCAGGTTCACTGTGGTCTACTATGATATAATCAATACAGTCTTCTTTACCAATAACTTGTTCTATTTTATCTAAACACTCATTTGCAAATTCTTGCTTCACTGTTTCAAATAAAACGTTTCCTTCTTGGGTTTGAAGAAGGTATGAATTGTACGTAGACCCATAAGGGGCAGGATATAATACATCATATTTCTTTAGTTCATAATCCATTACACCAACCCAATACAAACCAGGAAGTACTTCTAACACTTTACTTGTCATTTAATGTTTGTTAGTTCTTATGTTCTTTTTTCATTAAGAAGAGCTCAGGTGGATAAAACAAATGAAATGATTTTCTCGTTTCCTTTTTGGTAGTTTTTAGGGTAGTTCAATTTAAGATATTTCTATACTTTTAACTTACATAAATAGTTTCCTTTTCATTTTAATTCTCAAAATTTAATAAATAAATAAAGAATACCTCTCAAATACCAATAAAATAAATACTAAATTACAGTACTATGATTTTGAATTATGAATGAATTACATTGATTAAATGAAAAATTTATTTAACATTTATTATAAATTTGGAGTTTTTTTTTACTTATTTTCAATTCTTTGGTTTCTGAAAAGAGCGTTGAATGATTTAAAAATTAAATACCTTTATTTTATAACTATTCAATGAATGAAACACAATTTATTTTTGATAGAATTAATAAAAATATCTAAGAAATATATTTTTAATCTTTTAGAGTAAATATATGTTTAATTTATCAACATAAATAAGCCTCATTAAAAATATGAATTGCTTAACTATTTCCTATTAAAGTAATCTTTTTTTTAGAGTGTCATATCTCTTGAATATTAAATTAACAATAAATGACGAGGTTATTTTATTGAGAAAATTAATTACCCCCTATTTGTATGAATATTCTATTTTCATTAATTTATATTTTGAAATACTCTCTTTTCACAAAATTAGAAGTGTTAATTCTATTTTTCATTAATGAGGTATGTTATTCTTTGTTTAGTTTGCAATAATTGATACAAAAAAATAAAATTTATTTTTAGAGTAACGGTCAGTAAAGAAAGAATAAAATTAATGTAATAATTACAAAGAGTGAAAAGTGCATAGAACCAAAGACCGCTTTGTTTATTGTTCATTTTTGTAGATGATTTTTGTTTTATGTCAAAGTACCAATAGAATATTTTATATATTAAACTTGTTATTGTTAATCTCTGTTCAATGTGTTTATTCTTTGTTTTGTACTTCATTTCTTCATTAAAGAAATAACAATCATTACTTTTTATTTTTAAGAAATAATCCAACTTTATCATATTCCAGTACTTTTTCTTTATTTCTTAAATAGAATAACTATCAATTACTTTATTGATTAAAAATAAAACCACAATATATTTCTATCTTTCAATTAATTAAATAATGAAAGTTTTATTAAACAACTTTTCATTAATTGTAATATGCTTATACACTAAAAAGGATATAATAATTGAATTATTATTAATTCACTTTAAAAGACGATATATAATATATTTTCTAATATATTTATAGCAATAAAGTTCAAGACCTAATTGTCTAGAACAATAGAATAAAATTATCATTTATATGATTTATAATGGTTGTACTTTTCTGATTAATAATATAGTTTATCATTTTTCAATTAAGTTTGTTCATTAAACTCAATAATTTGTAGTAAAGTATTTTTCATCCACATATCAGGACATTACAAATAGTTGCAAAAAAAGAAACAATTAATGGAAAGAAATAAATACCTCTGATTATCATGTGAAAGTATTCTGCTAGATTAATTATTTTTCATGTCCTTTTTTAACTATATCGAAACTATCACTTCAGTGGTTCGTTTCAATAATGTTTTAATAATAATAAAGCTGTCATTAGTAATTTTTTTAATAACCAAATACTTTTTTATAATTTTATTTTGTTCTTACTTTGTCTTATAATAAATAGCATGTATCAGAATGTGCCTTTTATTGTAAATAATAAAAAATGGATATTTAAACAATATCAATAATATTAATCAAAAGTTCAAAGAGTGTTAATAATATGATTTTACATTCTCTTCTTTCTCAATATATATAAAATAGACTATTAAGAAAAGAATAAAATAGAGTGAACTAAATACTTTAAAAAAAGAATAACATTAATAAAAGAAGACACTAAAGAATTAATTAATTTAAGCAAAGATTGGAATGAACTTTTGTTTTTTTGCATGCACCAAAGACTCACCAGTTGATTGCTTTTCATTTACACAATCTTGAGCTTTTAGACCTTTGTAATAACCATCAACATTACATTCATTATAACCTGACCCACAATATGCTTTAACGTTAGTATCATCAACTTCATAACACATTTCTTTAAATGCATATCTATTATAATCCAAATTAATTTGATGTTCATTACAATACCACCAATTACTACAGTCACTAGGTACATAATATTCTGCAATAAAAGCCTTAGCAAAAGGCTTATGTCTTGAGTCGGTGAAAGGATAATCATATATATAAACAAATCTTTGATTATTAGTACTTTCTAATAAAGGCTCTTTTCTTCTCCAAATAATTAAAGGAGTTGAAAATTTAGTATCATAAAGCATATCCATAACTCTATTTGGATATGAATACAAACAAATCATTTGATATGATGCAAATTCCCAATATTGAAGTTCTCTTTCAGTAGTTAATTTTCTAACTCTCATTTGTTGTGTATTATAAGCATTAATATCAATACGTAACATAGACAGTGTTTCAAATTCTACATCAAGTACATACCTATCGGAAGTATCTTTCAATTTCTCAAAATTATTTGTTGGGTCATATTCCATTGCAAATAATACTCTACAACAAGTCTCACATTTATCTCTTTGAATAATTTCTTGAACAACCACTTTTTCATCAATAAGTGCATTAGTATGTATTACAAGTAATACACAAAGAATGAATCTCATGTTATACTGTTTGAAGTTCTTCTATCCTTTATTTTTCTTAGTTCTTGGATTAGATACTAAGAAGTTTGTTGAGTTGAATTTCCTTCATTTCAATTCTATTGATTCTTTTATAATTTCTTTTATTATAATTTTACTATTATCTTCCTTTTGAAATTTCATTTTAACTTTTCGACTTTTTTCATTTTTATTCTTTTCCTCCTTTAGGAACTTAACACATTATTGATTTATTCTTTTTTTTCATTTTTCTCCTCAAAATGAATGAAAAGACATTAACTTCATGAAAACTTTATCTACTCAACCATATGAGTTATAACTTACTTGAAACCTTCCAAACATCCTTTGTCTCATACTAAAATAGTCTAGAGAAACTTATTAAACAAAGTCATTAATTAAAAAAGGATATTTTTAAAGTCAAAGATA